CTTCAGATCACGCACACTGCCAGTTGGCGTAAAATGAAGCTACTGTCACGCGCACAGATAGGTTTTATCCCGTAACAATCTCCAATCTCACAGTTCACAGTTGTCATCCATTCTCGTCGACCAGAAACGCTGCGCTGCTTGCGCCGCTTCGTGTGCTTTCGCCTTACGGCAGCGGCTAGACCGTAGCGAAGTCGCTGCGAGGTCCCTCGTTTCCTTAAGATCAAGGTGCCGGAGCAAGCTACCTGGTGCGAAAATCTGCCAGTGTTTCAGTGGGTTGAGATAATGCAGAGCGCATGTCAACCGCCAAGGGCGTGTCTGGGCAGGAAAGGGCAGAAGAGTAAGGAGAGAATGACGGGTACGTGCCCGCCACATATGGCAGGCCAATTGGCACCTGGATTATGAGCTATCAGTAAAAAACAATATACACATGATATGTGAACAAATGTGACGGCAGGCAGGAAAAGTACGAGAATTGCAAGGGAGGCTTGCTTTGCATTGCATCTCAACTCAGTATGGCTAGATTTCCGTATTTATGATTCCTCGCAATATGCACATTGCCAATAGCAATATTCCAGATGCATCCGCAGCGTTAGCAACGCTGAACCGGGGAATATGGGTGGGGGACATTTGTTTATCCCAAGGCTCTAGATTGCTTCGATTTTAATGTGGTCGGTAACCATTTAGACGTTTCTGACGCACTGTCGACAAAAATGTGGCCGGAACGGAACCAGGTTAAATAAAAGGCATTGTCATATTCTAATGCGGCAACTGCGGTACCTTTTTCGGTAAGATGTGTTGTGACCAGAGACCTCGGGTGATCTAAGGTCCACATCTCTAAATCTTCTGCCCATTAACTTAGTCAAACCTGTCAGTAGATTGTACCCATAATCTAAGAGCCCCTAATGAAGCATTCCTAAATCCGCTGCCGTCAACTATTGACGACGGATGTGCTATTATTACATCTCCGAGCTAGTTAACACGGGTATACAATTGCCGCACTTATCACATGCTGGGATGTCGCATAATAACGCATGCTATGTCCTGTTCTATGCAATGAGACAAGAACTTACAAAAAGATGCGAACCATTACGCATTTGGGCACTTCATTTAGACGTGGAGGGTGCATCCTTGACTTCGTCAAAGCCAGAGGGCCGCTGTACTACAGTTCCCTGGTTTCCGTGTCATTGCCTCTAAGGGTACCGAGACCGCTGTTGACCTTTCAAATGCCGCTGTTTTGCTCGCATCAAGAAAATGCCTTGTAAGAGAAGATAACCGGTGAATGATCACAACTAAATAAAGCTGCTTCTAATCTTGATATTTGGATTTGGTACACCTCATGACGCTTTTTAGTTATTCGGATATTCAACAATAAATCACGCACGGCAAAGCCTGAAAGCCTTGTGCTGCGAGCCTTTTTTAGCTTTTGGTTAAGTGTCAACGTTGCAGAAAACATGTTTTTCTTCGGCGATATATGTACCTGCATCCAACGTTATTTTGACGGAGGCGAAGACAAAGGAATTGTCATGGCTCGGAGGACAATTAAGGGTGGGTGACCAAAAACCAGGCGACAAAGGAACGAGTTTGTAAGAAGCATACGCGTAAAAGATTCCCCCCTCTCGCACAAAAAGGTTATGAAAATATGCATGTTCCGTTTTGAGGTTTACTGATAGGCATCTTTGCGAACAAATCTTCAAAAAGCAATATGCATGCCAAGTAGGTAACGCAAATGTATCTGCAGGAAGAACACGGCCAACAAAAATGCAGCAGATTGATCGAGACATTATGGTTGCATCAATCATAGATGGCCGCCATTTGTTGTCATTCCTCCATCACCTGGGCGCTCAACACGGCGGAAAACAAGTTAATAACTCGTTAAAACCATGCGGCTGGTCTCGGATGGGAAATATTTACGATCTGCCGCCGAAGATCTGCGAAGATTAACGATCTGCCGCCGAATCTGACTATGGCAATATATGTGACAAGCGACGCTGGTTTCCAGTGCTGATGCTGAGGAAACGTATGGCGTTCTGATCCAGGACTACACTGGGGCTGATCATGGCCACGTCACGAAGCAGAGTTCTTCATGAGAATCGCGGCCATTTGCCTCTGTCTTTCGTCAGTAATAAGATGGTATCGCCTTAGGTCAGGAGTGATGACGTGCGCGTATGACCACTCTTTTCCGTGATATTCAATGAATGTTTCAGCGGTGAAAAACGTCTGATTCACCAGGTATGATCAGTGACAAAAAACCGACACTTTTGGAATTAATTGGTGACAAAATTGCGAAAATGAATAAAAAAATTAAAAGGACAAGACCGTATTACAACAGGTTATTCCAGCCCGACGAAACTCGAAGCTTAGTATTGGTCTGTACTCGCGAACGCTTGCAGTGTGAGTACGTGTTGAAACATTGTCGTTTCGCCGTACAAGCAAGTTGAGCCATCAGACACTGCCAAAAATAGTAGCTTTAATTAGGAGAGCTTTTAGCAGGTGACAGAAGCATACTGCAAGCTATACTATATCAGTGCTGACGTCAGAGATCATTGGTGAGATAGTGTTTTTCCAATGCCCCTCAGATCAGTGCTTTTCACAGATTGTTCAGCCAAGATTCACTTCACACACTAAACAGCATAAAATACCAAGTAACCAGGCTTATTGCTAGTTGTAAGAATCGTGGCTGGCCACAGCAGCCTGCGGCGAACGTGATCAGTTGGCTACGCAGCGTCTTAAAGCGTCGTGACATTTGAGACAGATGGGCCTGATTGCTTGCCACGCGGTAATACGTTGAATTCAGTGCAAGGCTGTGGGCTGCCGTTAGTTATGTCCATGTGGTGAGAAGCTGACTGACTAAAAGGACCTAGCTAATCGTCAGTTTTCTTTAAGGTAAAAGCGTTAAAAAGCCCTGCCTATGCGGATTGTTGTTTGTGGATACCTGAGCTGTAGCTTCATAGGTAGACGGAGGTCGTTGGAGCAACACATATCAAGGATTCATCCGGGGCCTCTTGCTTCTGAGAGGAACAACGACTTTGAAGTGAGGGGCCGAGCGTCACTGGTGTAGGCTTCTCACATTGTCTGTGGTACCTCAGACTTAGCGCACTGGTCGGTGGACAGGCGTAAAATAAAACGTTTTTAGTTGTCATCGTATTAGCATATAGAGCTAAATGATGGTGTCAGAGGTGTTCAAAAACATCGTTTGCATCTGTTCATAGCAATACTGCATGGGTTTTACTGTAAATCATCGGGCTCATGTTAGGAAATTCGAGTTGTGTACCGGCAATGATTATGTGAAGATAACGAAAGTCGCCAACGCTTTCAGCTGATTATACGATGACGTCACCAAAACAAAAGTGATATGGTTTCAGGTGCTTGTAGAACCATGTTATCGTTTAGTGTAGGGCTACAGGGATGCAGTTTTGCAAAATGAGTAGGGCTGAGCGATGGAAGGGGGGGGGGGCAAAAACAAATGGCTGAGCCTTCCTCCCAAATACATTTAAAACCATTTTATCCCCAGATTTGACGCAATTGGTCGCAGCTGGCAGCAGAGGTTACGTTCTCAAAATACGTTCTTGGGGGCTGAACCCCCAAACTATGATAACGGGAAAATAATGGACAGAAATAATGGTAATTAAAAATACGAAACTGCTCCCCTGGTTAGGAAGCACGATTCCACCAGAAGCTATCATTCAGTGTTTGATGGTCAGCAAATCAAGCTTTAGTGCAAATGAGCTCCCGAAACAAAAAATGCGTGATGGTTGTGCTTTAGCTGCATCTAATTTGTCTTTGTTTTTGCAGTTTATTGCATCTAGAGATATATCGCACCGATTTATGGAAGATCTAACTCCGGGTGACAATTCACAGGATTCCAAATCTCGTGGGTGACAGAAAAGGCACTTTTCCACCCTTGGAATGAGGAGTATGATCTTTCGATGCTTCAGGTGCATACCATAAGCTGTTCTTCGAGGTAAGCTTTATGTAGAAATCGGCATTTTTCTCGTTACTTGGGTTGTGCTTGCTTTTGATGTACTCGTCAGTATCACCCAGGAACTTGGCTACAAGCAGCTAGGATCATCGAAGGAACCCACTACAAGCATTTTAGAATCACATGAAATCTATGGAAACACTTGATATGACCAAAATAACTTAGCAGCCTGGCCATGTCTTATGGCGACAGTTGATTTCTCGCGAAAACCGAATCTTTGTAAAAAAAAATTATCCCGAAAGTTCGAGAACCTGGTGAACCCTAAGTGCATGGTTGAACTGGGCGTCTGGGAAAGCAGATGTGCAGAGTTCGATTTTCCGCGGTGCACGCCTTTCTTGCCAGGGTGAGAGGCAGGCAAGCGCCATATAGCCTCAGTAGCTGTGTCGTAGAGCCGCAATGATAATAACAACAACGAATCCGGGAAGCCGCTCTCGCTACGGATTCCGAAAACTTGCAGGCCCAACTTAGCTCATCGCAGTCGCGAACTGGAAATGTCACGTGGTGAATCGCATCGCAGTGTTTTACATACCCAGGCAAACATATCGTCCCGATTTTTATCCGCGTAGTTTCGAACAGAATTCCCTGCGTAAAGATGTTCAGTGATTAGGTCTTTCTAACGCCAACTTACTTTCCAGCTTTCAAAGTTAGCTTCGTGGCGACCGTCGGAAGAATTGCTACCACAATCATTCTTACAATTGCTCAAATAATGTATCCAGGATGCGTACCATGACTCCGAACGTTCGGTATGTTCGGTGCGCCAGTCCTTTCCCTGCGCATCATACCTCATTTCGGCCATGGGCGTCAAGAGACAGACCGCAGCTCTCCAGGCTTAACAAGTCAGTAGAAAAGCGAGGCATATAAAAGCAGACATGCCGAGACCCTCTCACATTCGTAACCGACCAGCGCCAAGCTACGGCCAGATCGGCACGCTGGTGAGGAGGTGGGGCGGCGTCCGCGGGCGGCGCTAGTGCAGCGTTCGACACTATTTCAGAGACGGCGTCGACAGTGTGGTGTACGGCGCCGTCTGTGCGGTCCTGGTGTGCTCGTCGCTGGAGGTGGGGTCGACTGGCGTCACCGGCTGCAGGCCGTCCCCGCGACTGGTGACCTGCCGGCCGGTGACCCAGGTCTGCCGAAACGGACCGGTCGACAGCGATGCGAGTGACCTCGTGTGCCACTGGGACTGCCGGCTGGTGGGAGAGTGACCGGGCCGACGGCGCCGAGCTGGCGCCGGTTGTTGCGGTGTGGCCTGGACTTGCACACCGCCCGGCACGCTGATCGCTGGTCTGGTGCAGAGGCGTCCTGGACCGCAGGCCCCTGGACTGACACGCCGGTGTCAATGTCACCAATGCTGACACGCTGGTGCCTGAAATGGCTGTTGAAAGATACACCGCAGCCATGTGTTACTAAAGTGTAGTGGGATCATCTGAATTATTCTGAAAACATGGTGCACTTTGTTTCGTGCACTGTATCATGGCTGTCCTCACGGAGGTCGGTCTATAAAATATGCTACCAACTTGCGCATAAATAGATAGCATTATAAAAATCATTTAAGGCTAACTAGCTGCCTGTGACTGCGGGTTTCGCCCACGGCATCATGGCACCCTTACAACAAAACAGGAGTCATTTAATTCATCACACTTTCAGCCATTTTGGCGGCAGTGTAATTCCTTCAGTGTCCTGGGGTGGCAGCTTAGGAAGCACAACTGAGTGAAGCAATTTCAGGTCTTCATGAGAGCATCGCCGTGATCATGCTATAGCTGGAGGGTCATTAAAACTCCGATGTGTGGCGTTGGTCGGAAATTGGTGTGTCGTTGCAGCCGAGTCAAATGTCGTACTTGGTCACGTGAGATTGAATGTGATAATGTCCCCACTACGGGGTCTAAACCGTCTCGGATTACAAATGTTTGCATAGCTTGGCAATGGCAACTTGCAACGTTATGGCATAGGCCAAAGCGAACAAAACCTGCTGCCGCCACTACATTTCCCCACATTGGACTGATTGTCATTGCCTTAACTGAGTTCGCTGCGGTTTCAGATACTGCCATGAAGCTGATCATCTGTATTGTGCTGGCTGTGGCAGCGGTCGTGGCTGCCGATGAAGGCCTATACCCGCAGCCTGCCCAGTCGGCTCCCGACTCCTACGCATACTACAACAATTACGAGCCAGAACTGCCCAAACAGAGCGGGTGCGTGGGTCCTAAACGGGATATCTGTTAGACAGCCAGTGTTATATGGAGCTCCAAGGTTTTCACGATGGCAGGCCGCGTCAATGAAGTTTATGTGCTGAGAACCCCCGTGTCACAGAACATGTAGATCGCTGGTGATATCTCAGGTCCTCTAGGATGTCTACCACACGTGTTATGACATAAACTTGCCCCACATGCCTAAGTAACCTCCATATTTAAACTTATGTAGTGAAACCTACGTTTTCCCGGCCTCGCATAGCCAGGCATACCACGGACAATCACTCCATGAGCAGCGGCCCCAGCGTAGATCGGTATCTCCCACAAGATAACACGATGTCTTACCTGGTTTGTTTCAGCTGGCTGGATCGCCTATTTGGATCTACTCGGCGTCAGGGACTGGCAGGTCTTTTCGGAGGACTGGGAGGAATCGGCTTCGCCGGTGAGCGACATTTGCGTTCTCTCGGAAGGAAACCTAGTGATTTTGGAGACTTGGAAAAATGACGTGGAAAAACTACATAAGTATGATTTACCGCTACGATACGGCTCAAAACTTCGAAGAAATGGCGTCGATTATGCTAATAACACCTCTGTTCCAATTATTATGCATGCTCCGTTGGAAAGCAGTTGATAGATATCATTGATAGCTATAGATGTCATAGATAATTTCAAATTTCTTTCGGCTACATTTCGAATTGGAGACGTAGATAAGGCCAGGTCGCTCGTGCATACATGCGTGTTACGTATATATCTTGCATCTTTTAATTTATGTTGACCCTGGATGTAGATGAAGTGTTAGTTGAACTCTAGCGCGAGCCACTTGGATGCTTGGCAGATGAGGCTTCTTGCCTCCGAGTGTCAGCTCCGGGTGCTGTGTGAGGGCAGCTTACCCCTAACACTTACACCAAGCACAAAGGTGCAGTGACAGTCTCGCGCCCGGCAGCACTGCGGAGAGCCGGAACTGAGGGGCAGCAGCGGCGCACGTCTGCTCCGACGACAGTGGGCCGAGTCAGTAACGCTGCTGTCGCTGTCCGCAGGTCCTCTTATCGCTCTAGTCGTCGTCGTCCTCCTGGTGGCCGTGGGGCTGACCGCACTCAACTACGTCATCAGCACCATCAACTCATCCGGCCGAGGCCTGGACACGGACGAATGGGAGGTCAACCACTCCGTCTGGATGAACCAGCTGCAGCAGGATTTCGAGGACTCGTGGACGACGCATTAGGTCGTCTCCTTAGAGCTTGCGTCATTTGTGCTCTTCGTCATACTTGCGCACGACATCCCTTGTAGTCCATGGACCCTGCAATGCGTCTTCACCTTGACTACCTGTAAATTTGCGACAGCCTGGGCTTTTAGGGAAAAAATAGTGACTTCCCACCATGCTTATATAGTTTCCATCACTCTCCTGCACCACGTAATTGAGTCAAAGTGTTAATTCAGAGCAAATGGCAAGTTATCATGTGCTTTTCTAAGGTGCCAGAGTGTTTATGATACAACTTCAAGCAAATCATGGCATGTAGTTGTTCCTATTCATACTACATTGAAATACCAACTCCTTGGCATGCATTCCAATTACTAGTGATGTTTATTTTACTCTGACAATTACTATGATGCTGCTCCAGTGTTTCGACAGGTTGATGCCTTCCAAGTGTTGTGTTCAAGAAGGATTATGAGTGATCTTTGACAAGTTACTTGGTTTAGAATGCATGCGCGTTTTGCTGAGTTGTGCGCCATTGTCATCGTTGTTTGTTGTGTGGCATTGTGCGTTTGTATTTGTTATGTTTTTGTTATAAAAGGAAGCGTTGGACAACCGACTCGGATCTTTCGGGACAGCATTAGAGAGAGAGAGAGAGAGAGAGAGAGAGAGAGAGAGAGAGAGAGAGAGAGAGAGAGAGAGAGAGAGAGAGAGAGAGAGAGAGAGAAAGAGAGAACTGGCATGCGGATTCATTATTTCTCCAAGGAACAGGAGGGAAGAGCAATGCCTACACGAAAAGTTGCACACAGCGGCGAACTACTCAGGAACCACCGGTGCCTCAATGGGCTCCATCACTTTTCGACTCGTGTTGATCTTTACCGAGCGGCTTCCGTCATCGCAACTAAATTGCGCATACCCATAACTAGGCAGGCCAACTCGTGCTGACGCCAGTAGATGTTCATAATATGTCAGAACACGATGGCTTGACGTTCATCAGGAACCGTCGGTACGATAGCCCGCGCGTTTGTAGCAGTATTTTTATATTTCGGTGGCTGTTTGCCTGATATGAATACCGATATAAAGGCTTTGACTTCATATACAGGATGCTAAAAAGAGCTGAACATTCAGATTTTCGACGTTTCCATGGGTACATTTCCCGCCACCAGACGCACGCTTCGGCGACCACCTCAGGTTCGCTCAAATCATTGGTGATCTGGGAGCGTAATCGTCCAATCGGAACAATCCGAAAAGTAATTAGTAGCAGGGTCGTACTTACTTATTATTAGTGGTGCTGTGCACTCACACACCCACCCTTACGAAGGATATATCCCGGGTGGCATTAGTGATGTGGTTTATCTCTTTGATCTATTCGGACTTGCACGCTGCACTATTTTTGTGAATTAGCACTCAAAACATCCGCGTCGCCGATTGTTTTGGTTCAGCGACACCTACCAATCCACAAGAGCAGCGAAAACAAATTCATTGGTTAACGTGGATAGCGTTTTGTCGATAAAGATGTTTGATGAGTGAATTCACAGCAAGAAAATTTCGCGACATGATACCTGGTCATGCATGAACTTCGCCTCATTTTCATGCTAGACCCCGCCATTGTGCTTACGGTTTCGTTGCCGAAACATTCAGACTAGAGCGTCTTCTTCTGATATATCTTTAACATTAATTTTCTGTGTTTTCTAGGTGTTGTCTCGCTTCATGACACTGGGTCGGTCCCAAGATCGATTTGTGGGAATTGTGTCAAGAGAAATCGCAATCCTTTCACGCGCCAATATTTCGAGGCCGCTCGCTGCTACTGAACGCTGATGTTTTACTGAAATTAGGTCACATACCATGTTCACAATAACTTAGTTCCGGCATGTCAATGTGATAGTTGTATTTCCATGTGCAGATGTAGAGGGTGAGCAAGGGTTGCAATGCAGTGAGGAACGATCGTTGGTTTGGAGCCGTGTTAACTGTACGCCTGCATTAGCTACCCGAGAAGACGGCGGACCTCCCCGGTTGCATCAGGTGGAAGAGCGGTAGACCGTATCAGAGGACTCCGGTTCGAATCTCAACAATTGCGAGCGGATAATTTTGGGGTTAAGGCTCGTACATAGGGCTCAATAACACCTGACGACGAACGAGAATAAATTGCCGAAACGTTGTGTACATACTAACACACTAAACCAGGACGATAGTCTGAACAATCGTCCCATCCGTGACAGCAGTACCTTGTTTGAATCCTTTCGCAAAAGTTGTAGCGTTGAAGGAAAGTACTGACTTGTATGAATATCGTTTATCGTTCGCTAGAGATGTTTAATCAACAAAGCCATGATACCAAATGCTTGCGGGCGATGCGTCGTAGTGCGGAAATTTTACCCCATTTCATACGGGACGATTTATCCCACTCATCGTTTTAGTGGGTTTGTCACCGAAGCGGCCAATCAATATCATCACCTTCTGTTCTTCCCTGACCATTCTTTGGCATTTTATAGCTGCGATGGCCGTTTGTGGCGATCACTGCGGGCCGCTTCGCAACGTTTTTTAGAAGGTGTTCTGCTAATGAAATTTTTATTGGATGCTTACTAGCACCGAAAGCCGGTGTAACTTACAGGGGATTTCCACATTTGAAGACATTGAAGCAAAACATTGCATATAACTATAAGTATATTTTTAAGTGGAAAATAATGTTCTAGACAGCGCGATTTATCTGCTTAGTACAAATGTTCTTTAATACGTCATTGCTTGATTACCTCGTCGTACCTTGCACAGCATTGACTTTGAGTCAATTGACGGCCGTCATGTCTGGAAATCGTGTCCACGAACGCAAGATATGAACAGCCGCACCATTATATTGTTCTTGGTCTTGAACATCACATGATGGGGATAGCAAGATTTGAATGACGTTGCTATGCCGTCACGCAAGCCTGAAATGAACCTTGACATAGTCTGCACGAAATAGTCTGAACATCTCCAAAGTGTGCAGCTCAAAAACTAAAGGATTTTTGGTCTCAAGAAAAGCAGGGCTGTGAAATGCACCAAGTTATATTCGTGAATATTCGACGTGGGTGTGGATATATATTCGTGGATATGGCTATCTTTTGACGTGGATACTTTAGTTCAAAACTCCACACATTTGGAGCACCTTTAACTGAAGCGCAGTGTTCCAATTCAATGCTTCACTTCCGATTGCACCGCTGGTCTGCTTTGCACGTTTTACGAGAAAAGGGTTTAGGCGCGCCCGTCACAGCTCGTCACAAACACAACAAAATCTTATAACTTCGAAATCCGCACTGCGTAGATTTTAAACGAAATTCACCGAAAGAAAAACGGTAAAAAGCGTAGTTGTTTGCACTGACACGTACCCTCTTCGGCTTTAAGACTAATTTTATGACGTCCGCCAAAAATGTCGCTATCGAAACAAATCCAAGCCCTGAGTTACTTCAAACTGCCACAATAATCAGTGCATCAAATGATATATCTCAACACTCTGAGCTTTTAATCTATTCGGTGCGTCAGTCGCTTTCTTGCCCATCTTGCTTCCTTATCTCGGCCATGGGCGTCTGGGGACAACCGGCGTCTGGGCAACTCTCCAGACTGAACCATGTCAGTGGAAAAGTGAGGCTTATAAAAGCGGAGATGTGGAGCCCCTGTTTCATTCGTTACCGACCAGCGCCAAACTCCGGCCAGATCAGCACGCTGGTGAGGAGATGCGGCGGCGTCCGCGGGCGGCGCTAGTGCAGCGTTCGACACTATTTCGGAGACGGCGTCGACAGTGTGGTGTACGGCGCCGTCTGTGCGGTCGTGGTGCGCTCGTCACTGGAGGTGGGGTCTATCGGCGTCACCGGCTGCAGGCCGTCCCTGCGACTGGTGACCTGCCGGCCGGTGACCCGGGTCTGCCAGGACGGACCGGTCGACAGCTGTGCAAGTGATCCGGTGCGCCGCTGGGACCACCGGCTGGTGGGAGAATGGCCGGGCCATGGGGCGCCGAGTTGGCGCCGGTCGCTGTGTGTGGCCTGGACTTGCACACCGCCCGGCACGCCGACCGCTGCTCTGATACAGAGGCGTCCTGGACCGCAGGCCCTTGGGCTGACACGCCGGTGTCAGTGTCACCAATACTGACACGCTGGTGTCTGAAATGACTATCGAAAGATCCACTACATCCATATGTTACCGATGTCACTGAAGCAATTTTGGGTCTTCATCAAAGCGTCGCAGTGATCGTGCTATAGCTGGAGGGTCATTATGGCTCCAAGCTGTGATGTTGGTCGGACATTGGTGTGCCGTTACAACCGAGACAAATGTCGCACTTGGTCTCGTGAGGTTGAATGTGACAAGTTCCCACTTCGGGGCCGATACCGCCTCGAGTTACAGATGTTTGCATAGCTTGGCAGTGCCAACTTGCAGCGTTATGGCATAGATCGATTCGAGCCAAAACTGCTGCCACCGTCACATTTCCCCGCATTAGACTTGTGCTGCCATTGCCGTAACTGGGTTGGCTGCTGTTTCAGATTTCGCCATGAAGCTCATCATCTGTATTGTGCTGGCTGTGGCAGCGGTCGTGGCTGCCGATGAGGGCTTCTACCCGCAGTCTGCCCAGTCGGCCCCCGACTCCCACGCATACTACAACAATTACGAGCCAGAATTGCCCAAACGCAACGGGTACGTGGCGTCTGAACGGGATATCCGTTGGATAACCAGGGTATTCTAGTTATCCGTTGGATAACCAGGCCAATGCAAAGCTCCAATGTTTTCACGACGGCAAGCCGCGTCAATCACATTGATGTGCTGAAGACTCCGTGACCCGTAATGTGTGGATCGCTGGTAATATTTCATGTCCTCTGAGGTGTCTACCACACTTTCTTTGACGTGAACTTGCCACGAATGCCTAAGTAACCTTCCTCCATACCAAAGCCGATAGCGTGAAAGCTACCTTTGTTCAGCCTCGCTACCCAAGCACACTACCAACGGTTACTCCCTGACCAGCGGCACCAGTATAAGTGGTTATCTCCTACACGGCAAGGCAATGTCTTAATTGGCTTGTTTCAGTTGGCTGGATCGTCTGTTTGGATCTACTCGGCGCCAGGGACTTACAGATCTTTTCGGAGGACTAGGAGGAATCGGTGGCGCCGGTGAGACACTTTTGCATTCCCCAAAGGGAAAATCAATGACCATAGAGTCTTTGAACGGCGTGGACAAACTACATGAGCAAGGGCTACCATTACAGTACGACTCAAAACTTCGCGGAAAGGCTTGCCAATGTTTTATGCGCGTTAGTTACGTTAACTGTGTCTTAATTCAGAGGGCGGAGCGTGCTATAGTAGAAAAGAATGGATGGATATCAAATCTGTGTCTGTCATAGCCGAGTGGCTATGCTGCTCGACTCCGGTACTGAATGCCATAGGTACCATAGATAACTCTCAAGCTCCCCGCGGTCACATCCCTGGACGGAGACGTAGATAAGAAGGCCAGATCGCTTTAACCCCGACCCTGGGTGCAGCTGAAGTGTCAGTATGATAACAACGCATATCCACGCTGGAAGCTTTGCACGGCAGGCTTCTTGCGAACATGCGAACTCCGGCTGAGTTAGAACTAGAAGAGCAGTCTTCCCCAGCACTTGCACCATACACGAAAGTGAAATGTCAGTCTCTCGCGCACGGCAGCACTACGGAGACCCGGAACTGAGGGGCAGCAGCGGCGCACGTCTGCTCCGACGGCAGTGGGCCATGTCAGTGACGCTGCTGTCGCTGCCCGCAGGTCCCCTTATTGCTGGGATCTTTATCGTCATCCTGGTGGCCGTGGGGCTGACCGCACTCAGCTTCGCCATCAGCACCATCAACTCATCCGGCCGAGGCCTGGACACGGACGAATGGGAGGTCAACCACTCGGTCTGGATGAATCAGCTGCAACAGGACTTCGAGGACTCGTGGACGACGCAATAGGTCGTCTTCTCGGACCGTGCGCCATTTGTGCCGCGCCCGTCCTTTCCCATACGTGCACGCGGTATCCTCTGTGATCTATGGACTCTGCAGTGCGTCTTCGCCTCGCATATTCGCACTATTCCCGCGCTCGGGTCAGTCAGAGTCTGTGCGTAAATACGAACACTTTTCCCAACGTGTCCTGGTGATGTCTCATCACTTTTCTGCGACATACGATTGGGGTAGTGTTCATTTAGAGTAAACGACCAGCCCCGATATGCCTTTCTAAGGTGCCAGAGTGCTTATGATATCAATTTAACCAAATCATGACACATAATGGTTGTCATTCATGTTCATCTATTTATCAATACGTTTTCCAGGCACTTCAATAACTTGTGATAAATGATGCTGTTCAATTATATTCGACAGGTTGATGCCTTTATTTCGAGGTAATGTTCGCAAATGCTCATGAATGATGTTTTGATTTGTGTTAACATGCCAATTATGTTTCGAGCGCTGTTACTTCACTAAGAATACGTGTTTTTGCTGAATTGTGCGCCATTGTCATTGTTACTTGTTGTGCGACATTGTGCGTTTGTATTTGTTATGCACTTGTTATGAAAAGGGACGGTTTGAGAACAAATAGGAATGTATATATGTATATGTTTCTTCATGGCGGCTACAGGAACGAACAAATCAGGAACGGTCGGCCCGTTCTTGGCTCCTTTACTTTCCGACTCGTATAAATCGCTGCAGAGTGGCATGTGTCATCGCCACCAAATTTTGTAAACCCGTCACTTGGCAAACCGCCTCGCGTTGACGTCAACACGTGTTCATGATAGGCCATAACACGATGGATTGACGTCATCAACAAACGCCGGGAAGATTGCTTGCGCGGTTGTGGCAGTAGATTGAGATTTATGTAGGCGATTACCCATTAGGAAATTTCATACATTCAATCTCTGAATACCGGGGTCTGCACCTGCAAGCGTAAGTTCAGAGCTTGCTTACCAAATATTCATTGAGAGTGTCATATTAACAACGCCTTATATATCGATGGTCGATAAATGTCAGAATAAGCACTCTCAACTTCCTTTCTTTCTTACGTCAATTTTCGGATCTTCCCTCGGATTAAGAAAGGAATAGCTTGCCTGTCTGCCGTTTGGTTCACCATAGTCTCCTAATCAGAAATGAGCTTAAGGTGCAATGTTTATATGAGCGATGTCGATCAAGAAAACTGTTCAAATAGGCAGCATCATACGCTCTTAGGTGCATAATTAAAGTTTTGCACGTTGTAAAAAAGATAAGTTTTGTTTTGCTCCGAAAGAAATATGTAATACTTTGTCTAACAATTTTCAAGATCGCACAAAATCGAATAGGACAACATTAACTTCAAAAGAATTTGCCTTATCTAAAAAGTCAACTTGGTTGATACCATTGTCATTCAGTGGCGGAACTAGAGGGACAGGGGGGGGGGGGAGCGGCGCCATTCCCCTCTTTTCACCTCTTTGGGCCCTGAAGTCGGCCATAAGCTCCAAACGGCTTGATGGGCATCCGAGCGGACGCAGGTTTTTAACAACAAACGCTGAACATTGGACGTCTTTGTGCCTCACGGCGACCAAGAACAGTCGCAAGCAAAGCTGAAGGGCCCGTGAGGTGACAAAGCCAATTTCTCGCCAATTGGGAGGGCGGTAATTGGAAAGCCTTTAAGGTTCACTACGTTGTTCAGGTACTCTACCCTGTTGCTGGGGGCCCTGAATATCCACTAACCAGGTCAATCCGATCGTTAAGGAGCATTTCACGTCGAACGTGATCTCTTTGCATTTGTTCTGACGATCCTACCCTGTCGTCGGGGGCCATATACGTTCATCTGTCAAGCCACTTTCGATCGCTGAGGGACGTGCACCTTGGTCTTCCCGTTTGCTTGGCGGGAACTGCGCTCTGACCGGGGCCCTGTGTGCTCACCTTCCGGAACACTCCAGATCGTTCATGACCCAAACGCGTTGGCCTCGGGTTCTTCTCGTTTGCTCGGAGAACCCTGCGCTATTGACGGGAGCCTGTTTGTTGACCTGCCGCGGCACCCGGCCGCTCGAACGCTTAGGTGTCATCACTATCGGCCTTCGGTTGAGCTGCCGCGGCACCCGGCCGCTCGAACGCTTAGGTGTCATCACTATCGGCCTTCGGTTGAGCTGCCGCGGCACCCGGTCGCTCGAACGCTCAGGTGTCATCACTATCGACCTTCGGTTTATCCATTTTACCGGAGCGCCTTCACCGTGGACGGGGCTCTCAGTGTTAATCGGTCGGGCCATTCCTGATTGCTCGGGGCCCTCTTGATAGCTCCGGGCCCTCCACATTAATCTTTGGCTCCTCCGATGAAGTCAGAGGGATCTTTCTCTGCCACGAACCGTCCCACACGTGCTTCCGAGCTTAAGCAGCCCCGTCGCTCATGATGTTTCGCATTCTCGTGTGTACGGGTCTGGCTAAATAAACTCATGAACACAAGTCCGAGATCTGCTAGACGACGAGTCCCATTGGCGCCTCAGCAGCAGAGAGCAGCAGTTTTGGCAGCAGGGAGCAGCAGTCAGAGATGGTTTTTATTGATTTTTACGCGCAATTTCGTAAGGTAACTTTACGCGCTGCCAACGTCCCATAAGTCATTTCCCATTTGTGATTAAGTTGTTGAATTTGTGACGCTCATTACGCTTGTGGATCACATTCCTAAGACCTTTTCAATGCTGGCATGTTTCACACTTCTCACTACAGTCCAAACAAAAATTCCGTACTTGTCACTAGCCATCCGCTAATCACATCAACTAGCCAGGTTTTTGCTGGAACAACTAGCCGAAAACCGACTAGCCGCAACTACTCTTGGGATAAAGTGTCGCGCTTGTTTTTAATGACGTTTAGTAGCCAACTTTAACTCACCTTGTCCTATCTCCTCCGAGATACTTAGCCGAAAAATAGCAGGATACACCATGATCTGAACAAAATGAATGACGTTCATATATGCAGATGCGTACCACGTCCAGCTTTCTAAGCATGCGCACAGCAAGGTATTAGCAAACGCAACATGGAAATAGCATACGCAACAATTTGAGAATTTAATGGACCAAATGTGATCATTTTTGGAGGGGGTACCGAGCTCCAAGGGCCACAATGTTGCGCGGTCACGCCCTTGACGAAATCCCAGGTCCACCACTACTACATCAAGTTATCACTTAAGCTTCGCATCTGATTTTCAAGGACTGTCGGACGTGTTTTTCCCACCAATGTTCTCAGAATTTCCAACAGCATCCACCTCATACGTACATGCATACTGGATTATGTTATGTCCGTCACTGTTTTCGGCCTCATGTGCCTATTCCATCCACCAATTGTAAGCCAGAAACCGAAACCACGGCCGCCGATCCATAACGGTGTCACGTCAAAAGTCAGCCACATAAAGGAAGACGTGCTCGGTCCCTTGCACACCCGTTATCGATCAGTGCCACGCTCTGGCCAGGGAAGGACGCTGGTGAGGAGGTGGGGCGGCGTCCGCGGGCGGCGCTAGTGCAGCGTTCGACACTATTTCGGAGACGGCGTCAACAGTGTGGTGTACGGCGCCGACAGTGCGGTCGTGGTGCGCTCATTACTGGCGATAAGGTCTTTTGGCGTCATTAGTTGCAGGCCGTCCCTGCGACTGGTGACCTGCCGGGCGGTGGCCCAGGTCTGCAGGGACGGACCGGTCGACAGTGGTGCGAGTGACCCGGTGCGCCGCTGGGACTGCCGGCTGGTGGGAGTGGCCGGGCCGATGGCGCCGAGCTGGAGCCGGTCGCTGTGTGTGGCCTGGACTAGCATAACGCCCGGCACGCTGACCGCTGCTCTGATACTGAGGCGTCCTGGACCGCAGACTCCTGAGCCGACGCGCCGTGTCAGTGTCACGAGTACTGACACGCTGGTATCTGAAACGGCTGTAGAAGGACGCATCGCATCCGTGTGTCACCGAAACAGTAGAGTTATCTGCACAATTCTTTAAAAATGGGGCAAGTTGTTTCTTGCAGTATATGACTAATGTCCTTTGATCGCAGTCAGTCAACAAAATACGTGATTAAGTGTGTCCTCTGCATCTCAGTCTTATAACGTAACGAACGCATTTTAGGTTAACTACCTACCAGTGTCTGTAGCTTTTGACCGCGGCATCCTGGCGTCTTCACTAAAAAATGCGCCATTTTATCCATCGCACCTTCAGTAGTTTGGGCGCCAGTGCAATTAGTTAAATGCCCTGGGGTTGAAGGGGAAGTATCTTAGGACAAAAAAGAGTCAAGCAATTTTGGGTCTTCATCAAAGTGTCGCAGTGATCGTGCTTTAGCTGGGAGGTCATTATAGCTCCAAGGTGCGACGTTGGTCCGAAATCGGTGTGCCGTTACAACTGGGTCAAACGTCGTAATTGGTCACGTGAGGTTGAACGTGGTAATGTTCCCACTACGGGGTCGATGCCGCCTCGAGTTACGGACGTTTGCATAGCTTGGCAGCGGCAACTTGCAACGTTAGGGCATAGGCCAAGGCGAACAAAAACTGCAGCCACCGCAACATTTCTCCACGTTAGACTGATGGTGCCATTGCCGTAACTGGGTTGGCTGCTGTTTCAGATTTCGCCATGAAGCTCATCATCTGTATTGTGCTGGCTGTGGCAGCGGTCGTGGCTGCTGATGAGGGCTTCTACCCGCAGCCTGCCCAGTCGGCTCCCGACTCCTATACATACTACAATTACGAGCCAGAACTGCCCAAGCGGAACAGGTGCGTGGGTCCTCAGCGGGATATCCGTGAGACAACCAGGGTATCCTAGTTGTCCGTTAGACAATCAGGCTAATGCGAAGCTCCAATGTTTTCACGATGGCGAGTCACGCCAACAAAATTTAGGTGCTGAGAGCCACCGTGAGCTTGAACTTGAGGATCGTTTGCGTCATTTTAGGTACATCTATCACACGCACGTGCGCCTTAGTAACCTTCCTCCACACGTCTAAAACAATATAATGGAATCTACGTTTGCCCAGCCTCGCATAGCCAAATATATCACGGACAGTCACTCCACGAGCAGCGGCCCTAGCACAGGTCGGTATCTCCCACACGATAACACGATGTCTTATCTGGTTTGTTTCAGCTGGCTGGATCGTCTATTTGGCTCTAATCGGCGCCAGGGACTGGCAGGTCTTCTCGGAGGACTGGGTGGAATCGGTGCCGCCGGTGAGAGACTTTTGCATTCTCTCACATGGAAACTTAGTGTTCTTGGAGACTGCATGGCGTGGATCAGCTTCGTAAGGATGGTTTACCGGCTCGATACGACTGAAAACTTTGAGGAAATGGCCTGTAGGCATTTTATGCACATCGATTATGTTAATAGTTCGTTCCAATTTCTTTATATGTTGCGGTGAAAAGGAACCGATAGATATCAAAGCTGGGCCTGCCATGTTATTTGTGCCACCTGCTAGCAGGACTTGAAGCCGTAGATGCCATAAATACTTCTCAGGCTTTCGCTGTCACATATATGGGAGCGTAGATAAGAAGGCCAAGTCGCTTTTACATACGTACATTTTACGCACATACCCCACATTTTTATGTTGCACCGACACGCTATGGTCTACACCGACTCTACAAAACTGTACCACATTATTGTGTAACTAGGATGTTGGCAGTCATCCGCTTCATCCTCAAATTGTGGGAGCGTTTTATCTGAAGCGCGTCACGAATCCGTCTCGACTAGTCCACTTTACGAAGCATTTCACCTATTGTGTGGTCTGGTCATATGATGATACAACACCAATAAGTGCAGTGTAGGTTACTTGCCTGTTGGTGATTGCGTGTCTCCCCACTGCATGTTTTTGTATCACCCCACCTGCCGTAGTTTGGACACCCCCACAGTCCACTCCGCATCCATGCTGGTGCCTCTTCGGAAGCTTGACAGGCGGCGGAACTGCTGTAACCGCAGTCATCACGGCTCCATGCTCCGTTGGGAGCTTGAGAGTTACCACGGCATAAGTGGAAGAAATTACACCTAGATGGTTTGACCTTGGATTGGAATTGACGTGCTGATGCAGCTGAGTGTAGTGCAGGTCTAGGTCATAACATGAGCTTGAACGTGGCAATGTTGGATCTACGGAACCACCGTAGATTTCGAGCTAGAAGTGTTTCCATAGCCCGACAGTGTCCTCTCTTAATATTGTGACAGAGGTTAGTTGCATCCAAACGTTCGGTGTCCGTCTTGTCAAAACGCCTGTGTCCATAAGAGCTTGGGCGCCACTGTGCTCTGCTCAGAGCCACTGCATTTCGCGATCTTGGCGTCAACGTAGCTTTGACAGCGAAGCAGTCTGCCACCACTGTTGCAGGCCCTCACAGGAGGTCGATCGTGGTATTACTGGAACTGGATCCCCTGTTGTCTCAGATTACCGCGTGCAGCTGATTGTATGCCTTGGGCTGGGTGTGTCAGCCGTGGTGGTCGCCGCTAAGGACTGCCCTCCCAGCTCCATACTGGCTTCTATTCCCAAACCGCCTTCTGCTTAAATTACTGTGCGCGATTTGAAACCCATGGTTTTAAAATATTGCCACGTGCCTAGTCAACCGGCGTAGGTGGCGTATGACAAGACCACATGAGCCGCTGAATCGGGATGCATCGTCCCAGCCCGAAACAGTTAAAGTGACTATGGCTCTGGGGCTAAAGCTTCGTTCGCGGCCCGGAAGCTCCGGATTCGACCCTTCAGGCCCGCAGGGTTCTAAGGGCCCACCAGGGTCCTGGGGTCTCTGAAGCATTGTGGGGGCCCGCCCGTCGACCAGAAGTCCCAGAACTGAGGCAATGACCCCGATACCTAGCAGCGGTCCGGTGCTGAGCAACTACCCATATGCCGATCAGGACCAGTATCAAGACCCTACTATATGAGAGAGCCTCCCCGGCGTCGCTCAGGGGGCTTCTGACTTACTGAGGGCTCTCTCTATCGGCCAAGGAGCCCCGGTACTGAGCAGAAAACTGAACACGGGATCTGTGCAGTTGCGCTTGATCCCCGATAATGAACAAGGGATCCACGCATGGAACAGTGCCTCCGTAGATCCAAGACATTGAACAGGGGCTCCGACCAGGACCTTTATTAGCCGAACAGGGGCAGAGCCAAGGCCCTCGGATTTCAGTCCAAGTGACTCCTCTTGAATCACTAGGAGAACCCGTGAGATAATGAGACGCATTCCGGTTGGGGTACCGACACTGGAGGCCTCATCTATCGAACGTGGACATTGTCAAGGCCCCATATTATCAGTCAGACGACATTCACCGGCATAGCACATGGGCCCTTGGGAATCGGGCCCGAGGAATTGAAGGGGTCCCGCTGTTGATCAGGGGTCCGAACAGGGAATCACCAATACTGAAAAGGGGCTCCAATAACGGAACAAAAAAGCCATGGCCCTCGAGTAACAGTGATGGGTCTTGCACTTTCTTCACTCGGGGCGCCTGATACAAATTGGAGCCTCCCACTCGGCCCGGGTTACCAGGGTAACGGAACAGGGTCTGTTGTACCGTACCAGCCAGGACGTTTTTGTGTCAGCCAGGTGTTTCCTATTTAGTTGTGTGGAATCCATCCCCCCCCCCTTCCCCGACTTAGGCTACAGTCCCCAAACTGTTATTGTTATATATATATATATATATATATATATATATATATATGAGTGTTATTCAGGGGGCTTCTGTGACTGTGGAAGGACTGACCTAAAGGTCAGTTCATGGTGCTCTGACCAACTGGTAGAGCTACCAGTCGCAGGCCCCTGGTAGTGGAGCAGACAACGGAGAACATCATCCTGTCCCCAGAGCCCCAGGACGAAAATAGAAGCCCAAGCCTCGTAGAGGCGGTGAGGAAGATCTGTCCCTAAGAAAGCCAAAAGGTTTGGGCTTCGCAAAACTCTACCATAATTCAGTAGGAGTCCATTCAAGTTATTCTGGTTAGAAGCTCTTGCATCAAAAATTTTACGCATGGCAGGTTATATGTTAAAAGTCATTGCATTAGAAGTGGCGTCATGTAGAAGTCTTTGCATTAGAACTTCTGCCGCGTAGATGTTTATGCGTTAGCAGTTTTTTCATTGAAAGTGACGTCACGTAGAAGTTTTTTTGTTCTAAATTTCGTGGCCGAGAGGTATTTGCGTCAGAAGCGATCCCGTGGAAGTTTGGTCGTTAGCAGTAATCGCGTCAGAAGTTCTGACGTAAAATCGTAGCAGTGCCATTCCGCCGCGCACAGTCGTCGGACTCGTCGCCTTCCGTGCCGGCTGTAGAATCTCCTGCGATGTTCCTAAACCAGGTCGCTTCCCAGATTGAAGACATTACAGGCACATTTCTATCGGAATATGTGCTATTAATGCCCTAGAAGCTAGTTAAAAAAAGTGTTACGGTTGCACGACGGATCAGGAAAATATCGCCCGGTAAACCTAACGCGAGGGTCGCTTTAAGCCCCTCCCCCTTCTCAAAACGATAGTCAAGTGCACTGAAATGAGACTAAGATATTTTGGTCGCTGACATACTATAAAAGAAAGGTGTAGTGTGTAGCATTGCAATTCAGTTCGCTTATAAATAAACCATTTATGATGCATGTGATAGCATGCGTCCTCCCAGAAATACACCGAAAGCGTTTTACATATTTTGAGAGTAGATGCCAGCTATTGAGTACATGGCCGCACGCAGAATTCTCTTCAGGTGAGGAGACGGAACATAGTAAAAGTATAGTAGCGGAGATTATATATATATATATATATATATATATATATATGTATATATATATATATGTACACACAGCGGAGCTTACTCTATACACAGATGTGCAGGGACAGTATTTCGCATCCGGCAGCATTACAGGGAGAGCAGGGGCTGAGCGTGCAAGTCAGTCGACAACGCTCCTGTCGCTGTCCACAGGTCCCATCATCGCCGTGGTCGCTGTTGTCATCGTGGTCGCAGTGGGACTGACCGCGCTTAACACCGTCATCAGCAACATCAACTCGTCTGGCCGAGATCTGGGCACTGACGATTGGGAGATCAACCACTCCGTCTGGATGGACCAGCTGCAACAGGAATTTGAAGACTCGTGGGAGACGCATAAGCTCATGTAACTGGGGCATGCGTCATTTGCGAATCTTGTCATACGTGTTCAGTGTGTTCATCGTGATTGAGGGCTGTGTCCTGACCCCGCTTATCCGTAATATTCTTGCTCCCGAACAGACTGTCGGAGGTTTTGGTTGTGAAAACTTTCGATACGCAACGCGCTCAGATGAATGTTCACTACTGCGATGGGGGAAAGAAACAACAGGGAGCTAGTGTTTCTTCCGTTAGAATGTTAGCGTGCATGATTCCGATGTACCAGAGTTGTCATGATGCATGCGTAGATAAAAAGGTCCTATTTTGTTGCCGTTTGTCTGTCGATACCTACGTTTTGGTGCGCAGCTCGAACTGCATCATATAGAAAATTTGATTTTTAAGTATGGGTAGTCTGTGCTTTACACGCTGCTACCGGGTCTCAGCCCTTATTTTTGTTGATATATGCGCCGATGCCATGTTTCGTTGATATTCATCGAGTGACCTCGTGCCGTCGTGCGTTGTATCTGAGAGAGACAGCGGATAACGCGGACCAAACTTTCTGAAACTCGTAGGTGTTCAACTCGAGTGTGTGTGTATACATTTGGCTTCATGACGTCTTCAGGGCCGAACTCATCGGCGACCGCATCCCCTGTATGGGCTTAAGTATCCTTAATTTTTTGTTGACTGCGACGGAACAGTGCGCTGTATCACAACCAAACTTCGCAAAGCTTCCAAGGAAAAAACCAACGTTTGTTGACTTCGCCAGATGCTCGTGGTAGTTGAAAAATTTGACATCGTCCATAAAGGTTGGCAAGACTTCTTGTACGGCTGTAGCGGCAGGTCCCACATAAGAAAGGTGGCCGCCCAGTATGGCCATAGCAATGCCTTTGACTTTATTAATGGCATGCTCCACAAAGCTAAACATCCAGAACCATAACACGTCAGAGGACAAATAGACTGGCTCCACCCGTGTGTTGTGACGAATGCTATTGTCGGAGCTCCTCTGCATCTCGCTGCCATCCCGCGATGTAATCACCCGATCGGAATGATTCAAACTGCTGTGGATGGTCCAGGCTAGTCTCACACAAACAGCGCCCGACGTCTATCCTACGATTGAGGTATCATAAGTCACGCAAAATGCTTTTAAGATATTAGTTATTTTGAGCAATGCTAAGTCCCTTCATAGGTATTTCTCCTCCCCCCATAACAACAATACATTTTTTAGAGACGCGAGACGAAAGAGCGGTTGGTGCGCGTCAGAACATTACCATAATGCATGCCGAGGTCAATGTTAAATATTTTGATATAAAAAGTACTCGGGTCAAATCAAGTCAAAATCAAGACGGGTCAAGATCAAGCCACGTCAAGTCAGTCCGACTGAGGGACAGCCTACTTAACAGGAACGTTCTACATTTGCGCTTATCATGGCGCACCGTACATTTTGTATTGTCCTGAAGCAATGCGCTCTCTTCACGGAATTATTTATCATTAATGCAGACAACCTCAGATTGTTGTGTCGCGACTCAGGGGCTCTGTGACGTCGTCAGGAGCCAGCCGGCCGGCATCGGTGAACGTGCCGGTGCGGGCTCGCGTGACACACTGTGATGCCTGAACACATTCGCTGTTAAACCATCGCGCGACTTGGAGTCTCCGACACGACGCTCTGGCCGCGGGCCTGACGTTCGCTGCAGAGACCTCCCGCAGGTAATCTGCCAAGGAACCAGGGCGAAAAGCTGTAGCGGTGCTCGCTTCGTTGGCCGTGGCCCCACCAGGGCAGCCGAGGCGTGCCACCCGTCTACGATTCAGCCCGGCCGTCTCCAGCTTTCTGCCATGAGGGGGAAAGGATGTCGTGCTATAACGCAGGGCCCTCACGGTGGTGCCGCCTTTTCAAATCAGTTTGGGGGGCTCAGCCGGTAGGGCTGACCTAACCTGCCCTCAAAAACCTGATTTCTCCTCGGATATCGGCCACATATATTTGCGTTCTCGATGTCAAGGATCAAAACTGTGGGAAACACCGGCCCGCGGCACGCTGCACTGGGTTTTCATGTGTAAATCGTAACTGTAAAATCTTGCATGCATCCGTGTTTGACATTACCTATATCAGGTTTACAAAGCAGCAGTTGGAAGGTAAAACAAACAGAATGTCTTCGTGTGAAACCTCCGTTTATCGACGGTAAGCTGTGAGAGAGCTTAACGCCGCCAGCCACCTATTACCTAACACCTGCCGTATGTGGCAGTGGATTTTGTGTTGCAATCCATATGATTTTGAGTGAAAAACCTTCCAAGAACGGCAGACTGACCTGGCATATAAGGGAGTAAGAGTGACAAAAACATACGTAGTGTCTACTGGATACTGTATCGTACAAAATTAACATGAAACTGACGGTAATGCCTTCAGGGAGGTACCCAGTTTACCAGCATTTCAGGAAAGTTTCTGCATTTCATTGATCCAATATTCCTGTTTTGTCCAGGTTCACCGGGAAAGAGTGCTGAAAGAAGCATTGGGGTGGGGCTCAAGGCAGCAACAGAGTTGGGGGGGGGGGGTTCCCTCTCTGCGAAAATATATAAGGTGACAGCCCTGGGCTCGTGTGCCATCGTGTGATGCTCGGAAATATATTCGTTCCTAGATCACCGCGCGTCATGGAGTCTCTGATCCGACGCTCCTCCCGCGGTTCTGACAACCGCTGCATCCGGCGATGAGCAGCTGGGACTCACACTTCGAATTGCTCTGGACGTTTTTCCACCTCCACTATTCCTGCCTCAGCCCGGTACGCCCCGTCTGCCGTGGTGTGGATGGGCGTTGGCGTTCGATGTATATCACGGCGTTGGGTGGCGAGAAGGACTCCCTGTGGTGCGGCGCCTCTAGAGGCAGTTTTGCTGCACTGCGCGAGAAGCGGGCTGTAATGGGTGTTTCGCGCGCTACCTGCCACGCCCAAGCCGGAAGATGCCGCTGAGTATGCTGAGACGCTTCGCCGACTCACCAGGTCGTGTTATGAGTCGATACGTTCGGCACTTATGAACTGGGATCACATGCCTTCTGTTGGTCACCTGGTGCGATGTCGTACAGCATATGCGACCCTGACAGACGCACGGCCAGACCAATGAAGTGCACATGGAAAAATTTGAAATACGCTGTTGAAAACTGCGAATCTACCCGTGGAAGCAAATACAAAATGCGCATGTTTCCGGTGATAATATAGCTCACTTGCCTCACCCAGTGTCAAAACGGTCTTCCGTTCTTGAGAATGCGACATAGTGAGTACAAGGTAGGTATCGTCAATGTTGTAAATGACAGAAGTCGTCACTTTGTCAATGTCGTCAATTCCAAACTTATGCGGGAACCTCGGGGCAGGTCTTATTCTTAAACTAGAGTACGGTCGATGGGAGGGGAGACTGTACAAGTATAGAGAGGCAAGCCTAGTAGTTGTTTGACAAACTTGGTGCATTGTGTACCCGCCTTCAACGCTTCTTGCTCCCACTTAGTTCTGTACGCCTCAGAGATGTCACTTATCAAAGTCCGACTACAGCTTTCGTAACCGCTGGTTATTTCAGCAGAGACGAGGCAGTAAGTTGACAAGGAAGGTGGCTGAGTTTCAGAAGTCACTGAAGTAGTACTTACTGTAGTACGACCGAGACGAGGGCCTAATCGTTAGACGGTCCGACTGGCTGGGGTCGGTCGGAGCAGGTCCCTGATGGCCATTCCACATCAGACTCAAGCTTGTATAAGAGTGGCAATTTAAGGTCAAAGCTATAAAGTCCCGCCATCAACGTCTCCGAGTTTGATTCAAGTGGAGCTTCCTATGGAAAATTAGTACAAGAGATTTTTAATGCCAGCTGACTTTCGAGGTTACTCCGGATTATTCAGGCATTGTTTATTACGTCGTATGGAAGTGCCCTCACTCCATAACTCCAGTATCACCCAATGGCAACTTCCATACTCTTTCAAACATGAAAGCTTTCGTATGTTTTTTAAAGCCTTCATGTAACACGCATCACTTTATTTGCAACGTCCGGGCCAAAGGACTTTGTCTAAATTCACACGTTTTGAAATGACAGGTGTCGCAGGTCACATTTTTAACTTTGCGTTTTGCCCAACGGGTATTTACGGATTTAGAGCTGCTGATTCCATTCCTTGCAACCTGGATGCGAATAAGATTGTTGTAGTAGGATCAGGATTGTAAAACGGAGCCAGTACTCAACACCATGTACATAACTTGCTCGAGGTAAGTGTCGTTGGAGTGGCGTGTCAAATCGGATAAAACACAGCCGTGTTCAGCTTCACCAGTCTCGCGTTGTTTAAATCAACACATTCATATCCAAGACAGAGCTACTTCAGGACTGCTTGAATGATGATATTCAGGATGTTAACCAAGACTGATATCAGGGTCATGGTGACCAAACCGGTCATGCTGGTCATATTGACCCTGAACCTGATCATCGGGAATTATGAGCCACGTTCAAAAGGTCTGAAGGCGTGCGTGCGGCAAGGAAAAATATGCTTACCATGGAAAATTGCACGTCTCTGCTTGTGTCATTTGACCACGTCAGGTCAAGAGTGAAGCAAAATATTGATATCATTTGACCTCATCGGGCCCGAAACGTGAAAGGCTGAAAGGCTTTGGTGTTACATGATGATCAAATAGCACACTTGGAGCTATATTCATGCAACATCATAAAGATTTCGAAGCATCAAATCAGCGAAACAAAATCAAAACATCTGTTGACTTTAATCACAGGCTCCAAAAGCCACCCGGGCTGCAAACTGGGTGTTGGCGTCATGGTCGTCACGGCATCCCTAACCCCACCCTGTCTCGTCAAAATTGAAAGAGTTTTGGCAAAACACTTCTCGTCTTGCTGCATTTGACGACGAGTGGCACACATCCCATACATCCCACTGATCTGGGGAGTTGGTGAATGGGGAGGGCGATGCTGTAATATGGCATGATGAACACGCGCTACCATTTGCGTCTACCATCTCACAAGTCAAGCGAAATGGCCTCAGTTGTCGTTGCGTTCGTGAACCTCCACAACAGCTTGTGAACCTGCACGTTGGTTCTCTGCTGTCTCCAAACAATACAGGTTATCGCATGAATGTAAGACGTCTCATCGCCAAGGCCGTATGAGAGAGGTAAAACCCTCCGGTGATTCTCGCTTCATCTTCGTTTGGCGTCAGCGTAACGTCACCGGTGCCGAGACTTCAAGGCCTGTATCTGCACGCGAGGCCGGCCGTGCTCGGTCCGTGCCTGTCTTCTTAGTTACCAAAGTGACGAGCCACGTATTTTGCCTTCTTGTGACGTTTATGGGTATTGCTATGTTAAACGCCAAAGTGGCATGCGGGTATGAGAATGGATTGCAAAACCAGGGTGCAGAGCACGATAGGTATCTGGCATACCTTTCTTTATAGCCGGAGCAAGGCTAACTATCCAACTGAGGAATATCTGTGTGTTCCATACGAATGGTATTGCGCTCCAATAGTTACCTTTACTCCACCCCTGAGCATAGCTGTTGTGCAGCAAGCCCAAACAAAGGGGTAAAATGGACAAGTCAAACGGGCAGCACTTCCAAACAGATAATGGTCAACACGCGCTTCTGTGTGGACCTGGTCCATGGCTGACTGTGTTTTGGCGTCGGTCGCCACTTGCTCAGTCTTCCGCGGTAAAACTTGACGCTTATGGCAATAAATGGGTTTTTCTTTCTCAATACAGCCTATCGTAACATTGCGCTACTTAGCCTCACAAGAACAAATTAAGATAAGTGTTCCCGGTTTTATTTCTAAACTACCCCTAAGCAGTTAATTTATGATCGGTACGAACTACGAGGGCAGTCAAGCTCTCTGGCCACCCATTTCTGCAGCAGTTTTCACGGAGGGGTTTTCA